CATACTCTCTCTCTGTCTCTTAAAAATGAATAAACGTTAAAAAAATTTTTTTAAATAAATAAATAAATGAAATGAAATACTGCAAAATCAACCAGCTTTTATGGCTTTGCCATATGAGGTTTCTATTTAAGTCAGAGGAAATTTTTAGGCAAAAATATTAAGTTCCTACATTATTTTAGTTTCAGATCCTATAGGTGATGTTGGAGTGTTTGTCCCCAGTAGTAAAGCAGAGTAAGTAGTGCTGGTGGGAAGGGTGTGCTGGGCCTAGCCTGAGATGGAAACATCTAGACAAGGGTGAAGCTTGGGTTGGGAAAGCAAGACAGAAAGTGGGTCCAAAGCAGTAATTGTAAATAACAAGGATGAAGGAAAAGGAAGATGCATTACTTAAATAGGAGCCTAACTCACCTATGAAGTCTTGGCAAGGAATAGGTAAGTAAAAAGGAGGCAGAAATTAGATGTCTGAGTTGTTTAGAAACCTGATAATTTGTTTGAGCTTGGAATTTATGATCTAGAACAAAAATGTTTGAGGATTTATTCTGTTTGATGATGTTGGGCAGGTACAATCTGCAGGCCAGCATCAGTAAAGCAGCAAATGAGAGGTTTAAATAGGATGGACTTTGAATTAAATAATAAGCTTTAAAAAATAATATAGGGGCCCCTGGGTGGCTCAGTTGGTTGAGTGTCTGACTTGATTTTGGCTCAGGTCATGATCTCAAGATTCATGGGATCAAGCCCCTCATCAGGTTCTGTGCTTATAGCACAGAGCCTACTTGGGATTCTCTCTCTCCCTCTCTCTGCCCTTCCCCATCCCTCTTTTCTTAAAATAAACAAACAAACATATATACATACATACATAAAGACCAATGCTTGAGTAACTCTATTCTTGCCCACAGGAATCAACAGGTTCAAAGGTCAATATATCCACAGCTATGAATACAGGAGTCCAGAGAAATTTCAGGGGAAGAAAATAATTGTGGTTGGCATTGGAAATTCTGGAGCTGACTTGGCAATTGAGCTCAGTCATGTAGCTTCACAGGTTTGTTTCCTAAAATTCTCTTTCCTGAGATGCACCCTGCCCACTGCCCTCTGAGATGTTGGCATTGCATGAAGTGTGTGTGGTGGGTACCCACACACTGCTTCAATCCTGATTGTTAATTACCTCTTCACACTCATTTTCTTGGTAGCAATCTTGATAATACATTTAAAAAATGAGAATTGAATAAAAATCGATATTTCAAACTTTAGGGACCGCCATATTATTTTCACCAGAGAGTGTCAGCTTCACTGGTACAGCCACGAGTTAAAAAAATGAACTACATCAAGGGCGCCTGGGTGGCTCAGTCAGTTAAGCCACCGACTTCAGCTCAGGTCATGATCTCACGGTTCATGAGTTCGAGCCCCGTGTTGGGCTCTGTGCTGACAGCTCAGCTTCGGATTCTGTGTCTCCCTCTCTCTCCACTCTTCCTCTGCTTGCACTCTGTCTCTGTATCTCTCAAAAATAAATAAATGTTAAAAAAAAATATTTAAAAAAAATGAACTATATCAGAAAACCACTTTAAATCCCTTTATTTTTCACTGATACAACACTTGATACATCTCCCAACTCTGATTCCTTCCATACATAGATTTCTAGGGATACATAGTAACCAAGTACGTATTCCAAATTCTATAATATCATAATTAGCAGATGGATGGGATCTTACATGTCAATCTGTTGACCTCTAGTCATCTTACATCATTGTGTTTGTCCAGAATCTGCAATGTAAGAGATGGCAGGCATCAAACACTGCTTTGGGGAAAATGCAAGAGGGATAGTGAGTGAAACCCAGAGGAAAGCTGAGGGAGATTTCTGGAACTATAAGCCACAAGCCAGATGTGTCTGTTTGCGTGTGTGTGATTGTATCTGTCTGTCTATCTGTCTTTGAGGACAGAGGAACTCTTCAAGCTAACAAGGCAAGAGAGTTCTTATCCATCTCTCATGAGCCAAATGAGAACATCTGAAAAACTGAGAAAGGAAAGTCTTACACTGTGAGGCATCTATATTTCATTTATCTGCATTCTCTCCCAGGTGTATCTCAGCACAAGGCAGGGTGTGTGGATTTGGAACCGGGTCTGGGATAATGGAATGCCCATGGACACTGTTCTCTTCACTCGTTTAAAGACCATCCTCAACAAATTTTACCCTACGTTCTTAATCAACAGATGGGCAGAGGATAAATTAAACGCTCGATTTAACCATGACGTTTATGGCTTACTACCTAAACACAGGTATGTTCTAGGTTTTTTAAAAACTAATTTTGGGGCGTCTGGGTGGCTCAGTCGGTTGGGTGTCCGACTTCGGCTCAGGTCATGATCTCACTGTCCGTGGGTTCAAGCCCCACATTGGGCTCTGTGCTGACAGCTCGGAGCCTGGAGCCTGCTTCGGATTCTGTGTCTCCCTCTCTCTCTGCCCCTCCCCTGCTCAAGCTCTGTCTCTGTCTCTCTCAAAAAAATAAATAAACATTAAAAAAAAAAAACAACTAGGGGCGCCTGGGTGGCGCAGTCGGTTAAGCGTCCGACTTCAGCTCAGGTCACGATCTCTCGGTCCGTGGGTTCGAGCCCCGCGTCGGGCTCTGGGCTGATGGCTCAGAGCCTGGAGCCTGTTTCCGATTCTGTGTCTCCCTCTCTCTCTGTCCCTCCCCCCGTTCATGCTCTGTCTCTCTCTGTCCCAAAAATA